TCGAACCGCTGAAGCATCGACCATTTCTGGCTGGCAACTTTCAGCGTCATTAAGCCACTGCACCACCGCGTTTAGAAATTATAAAAACTAACAATGTCCAAGGTGTTAGGGTTGGGGCATTCTTCTAAGTTTGCATTATTTCACTTTTTCCCCTGTAAATCTGCATCCTACATTCTAATGTCTCCCATGAAGTTCAAAAGAGAAATGGGATAACAAATAGCAAAGGCTATTTGACAAAGGCTATTTGTTAGTTCATGGAAAGGGAGAACTACAATTTTTACTGATGGGAAGCAAAGAGTGAGTGATATAGTTGGTTCAGCATGACCAGAGATTGGGTGAAGTCTTCTGGGAGTTTTCATATGAATATTTATTATAACTAGGCTATTCATTATTTTATTTTATTTTTTTATACATGCAGATGGGGAAGACATTATGTGGAAACAGCAAATTGATCTTAAAATATATTTAGATGATTTGCAGATGGTTGGTGTGGCTATACTCCTGGAGATTACAATCAGGTTATTGACTATCAAAGAATTAGCCTGATGGAAGCTAGGATTAAAATGTAGCAGACATCTACAAAGGATAGGTTAAGCATGGATAACTAGAACAAATTAGGGAAGTATTGATCCTGGATAATAATGGTGATGTTCAGAAAAGCAAATAAGATATATTATGAAATAATGAGATTTATTTATGGAAAATCCAGTCAGAAATTATTTTTGTAGCATTTGTTTGGTGTCCATTTTTTACCTTGTGTAGTAAAGAGGGAAATCAATTAAATCTGATTGAATAAGTGCCATAAAGTCAGTATTAACTCTTAGTGACCCCTTCTCCAAAAGGAACAGGGAACTCTTTCAGGCAGCGTTAGCATTTAGGAGTGGTGTTTTCTTCTGCTGTTTCTCCCTTCACATTTCCATGCTGAACATCTGCTAGTAAAGATTACTTGACAGTTGTACATACAAGATATTCACTCAGGTATATTTCCAGTCAAAAAAACAAGAATGTTAATGAGAAATGTATCTTTAATTACCAAGGCAAACTACATCAAGAATGTCTCTTCTACACAATATTCTGTGTTCTGGAAAAATAAAACATCTATGTGGTCAGGTCAGTATATGAAATCTGAAGTATTTCTTTCCCATCTTACATAAAGACATTTTAATTTCTGTGTTCCTCAAACTATAAATGATGGGGTTCATTAGTGGAGGTAAAATTGTGTACAAAACAGCAGCAAGCAAGTCCAGAGAAGGTGAGGACAAGGCTTTTGGTCTCATGTATGAAAACATGACAGTACAAACAAACAAGCAGAACACAGTCAAATGAGGGATGCAAGTGGAGAAAACTTTATACTGCCCCTGAGTGGACTTAATCTTGAACACTGTTGAGAAGATAAAACAATAAGAAATAGATACAAACATAAAGCAAAATGAACCTACACTTAATACCAAGCCAAATGTAATATTCTCATTGGTCTCTGTAGTGGTGCAAGATAACCTTAACAACTGAGGAATATCACAAAAATACTGCTCAACAATATTGGATGAGCAAAAATCTAACCTGAAGGTGTTTGCAGCATGCCCTACTCCAGTAATGACACCACACACCAAAGCAATTATTGTAATGTGGAGACAGACATTCCAATTCATGATTAGTTTATATTGCAGAGGATGACATATTGCAACATAGCGGTCACATGCCATGATAGTGAGCAAGAAAGTCTCTGCAGTAGCACAAGAGACGACAAGGAAAACCTGAGTGATGCATCCAGCAAATGAGATCACATTGTCATTCATCAAGGAACTGACCATAGATTTGGGAACAGTGGTTGAAATGAAGCAGAAATCAACAGAGGAGAGAACAGCCAGAAAAAAATACATGGGGTTGTGAAGATTATTACTCTGGGCTACAGTTATGATGATGAGGGTGTTCCCCACCATAGTTACTAAATAAAGGGAGAAAAACAGCACAAAGTGTAAAATCTGGAAGTCTCGATCATCAGAAAACCCTTGAAGGATGAATTCAGTCACAGCTGTTTGATTTAGCATTTGGTTTCTGCAAAAATTACTGTGGAAAGAATGAATAAATATTTCCAGCATCAGTGTTCCAGAGATGTATGATCCATCTTCTTATTTCAGCACTAGTCAGCTATATAAATTTGATAAATATATAAACAACCTCTGAAAATATAAGCAGCCTGTGGTAGCCAGTGAGTTTTATGCCCATAATGCTTCATTTTGGGGAGCTGCCAAAATACAAGACAGTACATTTCTACTTATCCCATGAATCTATTTTATCATGCCATCCAAAAGTATTTAGTAAAATAGATTACATTTATACTGATCGATACAGTGTTAGTCTGGATCAACCAAGTTTTTACTACTGTCTCATTCCATTGTCTCTAAAATTTACCTGTGTTATTTCATATCTGTCAACATATTAGTATCAGTATAGATACAACATTCATAGACTATATCACACAGGTTTATTTTATTTTATGTATCTTTTTCACACTCTAGTACGTAGACTCTCAAATCATAAAGAGATAGATTGAACAGAACAGTGGATTTAATACTGTAGCTAAAACAATGTTTAGCACTATAGAAGCATCCTTTCCTAAACCAGACCAAACAACTCTTCTAAATAATAAGTGAGAGCTACATGGGACATGAAGCAATACCTTCATTTATCATTCAAAAAAAAAATCCTTCTTACCAAAAGCAGATTTTGGTTTATGGATTAGCTCACAGATTGCAGTGGTATTTTGTGAATATGCTGATTACCTGAAAATACAGAAAGAGATATCTGTATTCTCTGAAATCTAAATATATTCCAACTGCACGTTGTCATTTTCCTGAGTTACCTAGCTAGCTAGGTATGTGCAAAACTTACCATTCCATGTATGTCCCAAAACATTCAATTTTTCCTGTGGATCATACTGAGTTTAGAGTTGAACATCATTGGTTGTGGATCCATCAAGATCTAGCTTCTTTATCAGTTAAAATGCAGCAAAAGTTATATGCAAAAGGATTGTGGAAATCTTCAAAGGGGCATTTTGTGGAGGGTTTCATTGAAGCGTCATTTCAAAGCAAAGCCAGCAACTGACATGGTAACCTGCTTCTTTTCACAGATTCAATGGCTTCTATGCATACAACAGCACATCTTCAACATCTCTTTATCAGAATATTATCTATGATGATTGTTAACTGTGTGTTTACATGTTTTTCCTATTAAATATTTGTTGTTGTTGTTTTACTTAACCCCAGACTCATTTGATGAGGGACAACCACATAAATAAAAGAAAGAATCAACATTCTAATTTCTAAACATTCTACATTATATTAGAATATTATTTCAATATTTATTTATTATTAGCCAATGCCTTTACGATATTTTCAGCAACTGACTGGTTAGCTACAGATATAGTCAGAAAGTGAGTCCTAATGAAACCTGGAGAACCCTCAAAAGTCACAATATTAGGAAGCATTATCACGTGCAGGGAACTCAGCATATCCAAGAATCTTATGGTTGGGAATTGTATGCTTCTCCTGCTGTTGCTGAGAAATCCTGAGGACTAAGATAAAATAATCATTCTCCCTTTAAAAAATAAAGTACCATAGTGCTATCACACACCTCTTCACTTTCCAGAGCAGAGAGATAGTAGAACTGTGAATTGGTAGAACAGACTGATCTGTCCTTATAAGTTCAGAAGTATGGAGCTTAAGGAGCTATTCTCTAGAGTTCTATATGTGTCTCAGCAGAATCCCAAGCAAGGTATTAAATGTATCTTGGAAAAATGTCCAAAGGAACAACTAAGTTATTTGCTTTATTTCTCTTGAGATATGTATGTTATTTCTACTTTCCATTAGGAAAAGTGAACTATTTCCCTTTTGGGCTGCAAATGTGCTTATCACTTCTATAGTATTAATCTTCTTCTTCTGTCTCAAATGAGTATCAAAATAGGCATCTATAAATTTATTGGGACTGCCTCCCCCCCCAAAAAAAAAACTTGGAAAAACTGTATACCTGAATATAGATGTGCACTGAAATTAAAATATTTTACCTAAATGAATAATTTATCAGTGTTAATTTCTCTAGCTGAATCAGTACAAACATTCTTTCTTATGAGGTTAACAGAATAAGTCAAGTTGACCAAATAAGTTATGCAAATAATCAATCCATTCCTACTTTCTAAGGTGGCATGGACAACCCTCTTCTTTCAGTTACAAAGAACATTTGCCTTACAGTGGCCTTACTTCCTAAATTTATTTATTTGTTATCCAACTGCTCTTAAAGAGGGGGAAAAATGTAACAGTATATTCATCAAGCCATACATTTATAAATTTGGGATCCAGACTACATTTCATTTCCCTGGATCTATTCTAATGTATGGATAAAAAATGGAACAGCCTATTTATATGCCACCTGACTCCCAGTAACTCTGGGCAGTTTACACTTGTTAAAACATTTAAAAACAGAGAATACCAAAAAAAAAAAAAAAAGACAAAAATAGCACAAGACAAAGTATCTTATTCACTGAAGGATAATATGTCTGTATGAAGTCCAATACTGATTTTGAAACCTGTTATATAATGCTGTCAGTAACAGCTGAGTTGCTAGCCTGATAGAAGGACATTCCAGGTTTAAGTCCATTTTCAACAAAGAAAGTTTGACTGAGTGATCTTGGACCATTTCTTAGCCCAGCCAAACATACAGAGTAATTATATGGGAGAATTCTATGACCTCCTTTTTTATTTCATTCTGCAGTCAACATATATCAGGAAATATTTCTCCTTAACCATTGCTCTGGGAGATATTTCTTCTATAGTGACATTTTATTTTTAGATTAAATTGTCAAACTTTTATTTATTTATTTTTATTTATTAAATTTATCCCCACTCATCTCCCCCTAATGGGGGACTCTGGGCAGCTCACAACTCATTAAAACAATAAATAAAAATACAATTACATTTACAACTTCTTTGTTGATTATGGTTCTATTTTTATATTTGCATTATAGATTTTAATGTAATGATGTAGATTCAATTTTAATAAACTATTAAAAACAAAATATACATAAACAGTACCAACATGCAAAGATTCATACCACAAAGGGTGGAAACATCAGTGACATTTGCTCCAATCCTCAAAAGCACAAATTAATCCTGTTTATGGCTGCAAATATAATCATCTGTACATCATGCTTATACCTGTTCCTTAGTCTTTGGTGGTGAGGATCTTACACTCCACTCAAATATTTTTCTTCTGCTTTAGAAAATACATGATTTAAATATTTTTATTAAAAGTCACAATCTATACTGTACATTTTCATATATAT